CAGGCACAGTTTATAGATCTGTTGCTGTTGTTGTTGCGATTGTTATTGTAAGTGCCAAAGATATTGCTGTCGGCGGGGCTGCCAACTCTTGTCGATAATTGCAAAATTCTTAAGTGTGCTTCCATTTGCCAAACGAGTACGAGGGCAGGGTAGAGCGAGGGGGGGAGGGGTGTGGGCACAGCACCAAATACTCTACAATTTCCTCAAATTGATGTTTCATTTGATGCATTCAATGTAAACAAAAAGTGTTTTGCGCAATTGAACATAAAATCAGAATATAAAATGGAATGGGCTGTGAGTTGGATATTTGGGGCGGGGTGGGTTGGTGGTAGAACCTGGTGCTGTTTTATGTACATTGCGGAATTGATTACTGGATTTATACAGTTAGTGGAATGCCAGGCATTACAAGAATTTCCTAAGAAACTTCTAAATGATGAGTCATGCTTGGCTGCAATCGGAGCAACGTTTCAAACAATACGAATCGGGAATATATATATATTTGTGCAAATGTGTGGAAAACAGGCAAAGCGTGAAAATAAACTCGTGCAAATCTAACAAGAAATATTACCTTGCAATTAGTTAAGTCTGGAGTAGATACAGAAACTCGAAATTAACTTATTAAGATGTTTATAAATATACAAAATAGATTATTAAAATATTATAAATATATATATATATATAATACTACTAATAGAAATAAATAAAATATTTATAAGACATTATAAATATATACAAAAAAATACTCTGAATAGAATTATATAAAATATACAATTCTAAAAATATATAAAAATAGAATTATAAAATTATATAAAAATATTAAAAACGAATAATTATATATTTTTATACATTTATAATTACATTTTCATATATTTTTAATTACATTTATTTATTTTTTAATTACATTTATAATTGTATTATTTTCTATATATTTTTCATTAATTTTTGTTTTTTTTTCATATCTTTTTAAATATTCATTAATATCTAAAAATAACACAAATTTCTAGTTCTGTTTCCAGTTTCCAGTTCATCTACACTAATAAAACATTCTTTTCATGAGATCAACAATTATTTAATGAGCTTTCAATTAAACTTAGCTATCTTAACTCGGAACCCATTGAACTTATTTCGACAGCATTTTCTTCTTCTTGTTCAACTAAACTTCTCACGGATCATATCTCTCATTTTTGGAGCCACATTTCCAGTGCTCAGCTTGATTTATCGAGTGCTTTCGAGTCTCATCGCTTAAACATTTCGGTCATAAAAATTCTTTCGTGTCATCTTTCCGCTATGGCAACAGATCAAAGCGATGTTGTTCATTCAAAACTCATTCTCAGCCCATTTTTCGATGCAATTAAAAAATAAAGAGAAAAAAACACCATTGCGACTTCCTGTTGCCAGAAGAGAAACCCGTTTAAACCAAATCAATTGATGTTCAGTTATGAGTCTTTGGCCCAAATGGGGCAGCAGCTGATCAGATGTTCGATTGGCTTTCACAGCAATTAGGTGCAGCAGTGAGAGGGGGGAGGGGAGGGGGGGGGCTAAAACAGGTGTCTCCCACGCCCAAAAGTTAAGAGGCCGCCGAAGCTCGTTAATTTTTTAGCAATTTGGTGTAATAGCTTTTGACCTAAACACAAATCTACAGTCGAGACCGCTAATGAGCCATTAACACGCTTATCGGGCCAAGGGGGAACAGGGCAGGTAGGAGGGTGGGAGGGGAGGTGGGAGTTAGGCAACACGAAATTGGCCACGCACATGACTTGAACCCAAAAGGAGTCGCACGTGAGCACTTTGTGCACTTTGGGGTCAGGCGCGAAAACAACAAAAACAACAAATAATAACAAAAAAAATAAATATGAATTTCCTCAATTAGATTTTGCAGCCACGACCCGTTTAGGCCATGGCATATAACCAAATGCAAATCGCATTAAGACGCGCTTTTAATCGGCCGCAAGGCATCGCCTCTCCCCTCCCCTCCCCCCTCTCCCCCACTCTCTTGCTGTTTCAGCCAAGTTTTTGCACTTTTGTCGAAATCGCCTTAAACGCTAAACGAATCTCTTGTCTGCTGGGTCACCAGGTCAAAAGCAAGGCGCCCATTGAAAGTACCGCAAAGCGAAGAACAACAACAACAGCAACAACAACAACAAAAGCAATATTAAAGCCGTTGCAGCTTGTGTGGAGATCCATGATACCACCTCATAGTTACAAAAGGGCATTCTTTGGAAAGTGACTTTCCTGGCACTGGAAAGCCGCTTCCAGTTCTCATGCTCTCGACACACAAAGTGGCCGAAGAGCGCAACACATTTGCTCAAGTGGCGCCCTCTAGCGGCTAAACGGCATACATGTAAATAATATGCGAAAAGAACATAAACAAACAAATGTGAAGTGCGTGCTGGTAAGGAGAACACTTTAATTTAGTTTTTCTTGTTTATAGTGGAACTCAGCAGGATCATTAATGAAGCAAAGTGTGTATGTGTGTGTGTGAAGTGATGTGGGTAAAAGCAATGTAAGAATTTTACAGTTAATAGCCAAATTATTACAAATAAATCCAATCAAAATAGTTTCCACTCGATAAATAAAACCGACATGATTCGAATTGTTGATAATACCATATTTTTACGCTCGGTAATTGTTTTCCTACTATTCAAAATTGATATACTATTCCTATTGGTATATGTTGTGAATTAAAACGTGCACACATTGGAATCTAATTGGAATCGTCTGCAGCACACATGCACATGCACACATCGCCCTTGAGAGTTCGCCGCAATATTATGGCACATCAAATATAAACCGTTACTTACACATTTACTATCTACTTTTTTTTTGCTCTTTCTTCTTCTTCCTCTTGAAGTGTTGTGCACTTTACATGAATATTTTATTACATCAACTTTAAAATCAATCGCTGCAATTGCTGTTTGCGGCCCCCGCACTCTGCCCGATATCAGACGATTGATGGAAAGACAGATAAATAAAGCGCAGCCCACGCACAGCAACAACAACAACAACAACAAGAGCAAACACACCGCCTGCTGCCATTGCACAGTTATGCACACATACACAGACAGGAGGCGCACTTATAAGTGCAAGTGTGTGTGTGTAGAGAGAGAGAGAGAGCGAATATTATCGCAGTCGGCGGTCGGGCAAATTCAAAGTTATTACGAAATCGCAATCGAACATAACGGTAGATAGCAAAAGCAGCAGTAAAGCACAGACACACACACACACACACACACACACACACACACACACACACGAGCGCAGAGAGGCAAAGCGAAATGAAATTGAAACATAAATAGAGCAAGAAGAGCAACAAATTATTGAACGAAACTTCTGATTGATAAAGCGAGCAGATAGCAAAATTAAAGTTATATAAAAAATATAAAATATAGTTTTTTTTATTTATAAATGTGTGCTACATATCGCATTTGCAGGTTAGAAAAACTGAACGAAGTTTTGCCAGCTGAATGCGTCCATTTACGATTACGATTCACTGCAAGCGCAGCGCAGCAGCAGCAGCAGCAGCAGCAGCAGCGGCAGCGGCTGTCCAAGCGAATGCCAAGACAATGGCGTAAAGCACAAAACAAGCGAATAAGCGTAACTGGCAAAGCAGCCAGAACAAAAGTTGGCCGCAGCAGCAAAATAGAAAAGAAAAGCCAAAGAACCAAATGCCAGACCAAAGAGTAACAGGCAAAATCTACACACACACACACACACACGCGCTTGCACAAGTGAAGTTTTTTTTTTGCTGCATTCGCTCTCTTCCAGTGAGCGCATGGAACGTAAATTAATTTAAGGCGCTCTCGTAAAATTCTTTTCTTCCGTTTTTTTTTTTAGCAAGTGTATTTTTTGTGGCTTACCTTAACGTTGTTGTTGTTGCAGCAGCTGCCGCTTGTTGAGTGACTGAATGAAGATTTATTACAAACACACACACAAAAAATACACTACACGAGATTTAAGAATGCGGCGACGCATGCGCAACTTGTAAATTCCAATTGGAATTTGAACCCCGGGACTGGCGCACATGTAAAGCGCAAAATCAAATGCAAAAGCAAACGCAAACGCAGGTTTGCTTCTTCTTTTCTTTTACTCGCGCACACATACACAGAGCGAATTTGTCGCCCTCACACACACAATTGCACACGCACTGCATTCGCCGTCGGTTTTTTTCTTTCTGTATGTATGTGTATGAGTGTGTGTGTGTGTGTATCGATACCTGCTAGCTGCTCGGGTTGTTTTATGCTTTAATTTTAGCACATTTATCAGCTTGATGCATTTGCGATTTACACACAGACATTGCAAAATATTATTTCATCTGTTTTACTTGGCGTTTGCGGCACTTTATTTCCGTGCACATGCACTTTGTCGGACACTGAACACACACGCACACAAAAAATGACTCCAACACACAGTTGCACATTTATGCAAACGGTGCTTTTGTTATTTACCGCTGTTTCATTTACAATTTTCAAACAATTAAAATTAAACGCTGCACGCGGCTGGCGCACACTGATCAAACGTTGATACACATTTACATTTATAAAACATTTAACACTTGATTTTTGCCGAAGCACACGCGTCGGCGGCCATTTGTTTGAAAATATAACACAACGACGCGAAAACCGACCGCGACGCGTCCAAACCGCTCGAAGTTGTTTTTGTTTATGGTCAAAATTAGGGATGCTCATATCGTATACACATCGATAAGTGCAATGTGCATGCACTTAAGCGATACTATCGATGGCTTTGGGCGATATACAAAAGTTGAGCGCGCGTTGTTTAAGCAAAGTATGCAATATGCAGAGACTTCAATAAATTAAGTATTGCAGTTGGTTTAAAAAAATACAGTTTTGTATAATTTAATTACTTATTGATGACTACAATACGATAGTGAAGAATTTGCTCAGTTGTAACATTGAGCGCATATCGTATTTTCCCAATGCGTTGGTAACATTGAACCGTAATCGTATCTACACTACGCGATAGTCGATAGCTTTTGCAATCGTTACACTGAACTGTAACGCGCAGCATAACAAACAAAGAATTGAGCTGCTGCAGTTTTACTTAATTAACTTAAATTTTTGATATTGTTGCGATGTCGCGTCGCAGCCAGGACATACCCATACGGCCACGCTACGGCTACGCAGACGAGGCCGGCGGCGAGGACGCCGCCAGCATCAGCCACAAGGTGCAGCAGCGCAACAACGCCTGCGGCACGCCCGCCTCCTACTCGGAGATACCCTTTCTGGCCCAGTACGCGGGTCCAGTGCCCGAGCACGTGCTGCAGGACATAACGCCCACGGCCGGCAAGGTGCCGCCGCCGGGCAGCGAAAGCTACATGAATCTGGACTCGGGCGAGGATGACGATCACGACGATGACGACGGCGAGGAGGAGGACGAGGAGGAGCCCAGCAATAGCAACTCGAAGGACAGCTCCAACGAGCCGAGCAAGCCGAGCACAAATCGACCCAAGTCGCTGCAATCCAGTGAGTATATATTGCCATATTTTACGCCCGTTTCTACTTCTGACCAACTCCGCAGCATTTCCCTACGAGCTGGAGGGCGCAGGCGCCACGAGCAGCACCGGCGCGATGCATCATTTCGTGGCCCACAATCTGGAGTCGAAGCTGCGCGCCGCCACGGACCACAACAACTCCGAGCAGACAACGCCCTCCGCGCCGATTTCACGTTTCCTGCAATCACGCAACGTGCCCGAGGTGGACGGCAATGTGCTGAGCGACATTGAGCTGGAGGCACAGTATTTGGCCAGCTCGGTGGACAATCTGATGGAGAATCTGGGCAATCTGCTGCACTCCATCAGCTCCATTACGGCGGACAATGTGGAGGTGCACAAGAATGCGGTGAAAAAGCTCACGGATGCCCTGGACGCCAACATCAAGTGCCAATATCAGCTGCTGGCCAAGACCGAGGAGATATCCAAGTCGATGCGGCCCACCGAGAAGCTCAGTCAGCGCATGTAAGTCCGGGCCACAACTCTCAGCCATAGATCTAAACTATATGAACGCATCTCTTTTCTGAAAGTCGGGAGATCAAGCGCCTGGTGGACATGCTGGACAGCACCATGTAGGAGGAAGCCAGCGGCGGGGTTGGAGGCGTGGAGCTCGCTGCTGCTTTTGGGCAGGAAATTGGCACGCCTTGTGCTTTTCTTTAGGCAAACATTCCATTTGCTACCATATTCTAGTCATTTAATTATATGCAACAAATGTAAATCAACAAAATGCGTTTTTTTGTAGATTTCAAAAAGCGCGCCAAATAATGTCAATCAAACGCATGGCCTTATTTAGCACCACATTTAAATGAGTGTGACCAGCTTGAACATTACTGGTATTATACACACTTTAGCATATTTCTTAGTATTTTTCCTTTCCTGCTGGCATTTATTGGTGCATTCGAATTTGGTATTTTTGCACATACTGCTCACACGCGTACACTGGCCCACCCAGTCTACTAAAACTCTCTGAACAACGCGTACGCCAAGTCGCTCGTTCTACGGGCTCGTGGAAAAGTGTGGAAATACAAAAAAAAGAAGAAATAAAGTTTTCATTGTGTCTCATGCGTGCGTGTGTGTAAAAAAGAGCGAGCGAGCGCAACATGGCGAGTGTTTTAATAACGCAAATTCAATTGCACTTTCTATAAAATTCCCAAATTTTCTGTTCGCCAAACGTAATGCGGCCCAAGTGTTTGCGCGCAGTGTGAATGCTTGTTTTTTTCCCTTCCTTTTCTCCGCGCACATCAACAAAAAAATATATATATGTATATATATATAATGAAAAGTAAGCACAAATACGTTTAAGCATTGAGTGACTGTGCCTGTGTGTGTGTGTGTGTGTGTGTGTGTGTGTGTGTGGGTTTGAGTGGTTTGTTGCTCTGGCAAGCAGCAGCCACGAGAGAAACTCAAAATGAATTGAAAACGATGAACTCAAAGTAGCGCACGTAGCGTGCTTGCGTGTGTGTGTGTGTGTGTGTGTGCGAGCGAGAGAGCGCGCCTTATACACGTTTTCAATTGCATTTTTAACTTGTTTTTGCCACGAACTTGGTTGTATGTATTCAGCATTTGTGTGTTTAATCGTCTTTTTAACAACAATTTGAATACAGGGTGACGCGGCGAGCGACGCTTGTATATGTGTGTATGTGTGTTTGTGTGTATGAGTGCGAGCTGCCCCTTGTTAGTCAACATAAAGTGTATTATTATTTTTATATATGTGTGTGTCTTTAGCTTTTGTGTACTTTTCCATATTGCGCGTCAGGAAAAATGCCAACTTTCCATATGGCTGGCAAATGCGGGCGCCGCCTGACGCTCTTCTTCTTCTTCTTCTTCCAACCAACGTCACCCTGTGTTTGTTATTGTTGTTGTTCATTCTAATATAATTCCAGACCGTAATATTCATTCACATTTACAGCGAGTCAATTTGTTGTTGCGAAGCCTGCGTTAGGTACATACATATGCATTCACGTGTGTCTGTGTGTGTGTGTGTGTGTATCTGCCTAGCGCTGCGTCATCATAAACATCAAAGAAACGCCGCCAGCGTTGCCGGTGCGCGTGAGAACAGTTTTGAGTCAGAGAGCAGAGCAGAGAGAGAGAGAGAGAGAGAGAGAGAGAGAGAGAGAGAGCGCTTGATGGACGTGTGTGTCATTCATGCAAAGGATACTGAAAACCATTTGCTGCTTGCGCTTTAACGTCGACAGAGCTGCTGCAGTCGCTGCCGCTGCTTGCGTCGACTTTGCACCGTTAGCTGTAAAAGATTTAAAGGCAAATGAAATTGTTGCACAACTTTAATTCAGCCAAGAGAGCAGCTACTATGCCCACGCTCTCGCTCTCTCTCTCTCTCTCTCTCGCACTCACACTTGTCAATTAAGTGAAATTCAAGGAACCGCAAGTTGTCAACCAAACAACCAACCGACACGACAGCTGTTCGAGAACTAGCCAAAGGGCTGCTCAACAGGGATGGGGAGGGGGGTGCTGGCCATTAATTGAGGTTCAAGCTGGTGTTTAGATTACATGCAACTACTTTAAAGTGTTGTAAAACATGCAAATATCATAAAGAAGTATTCACAATAGACTGACAAAGTGCTTACATTCCATTCTATTGTAAAAAAACAAATATTTTAATAGATTAATTTACATTCCAAAGCGTTTACTGTACTACCAGATAATCATATGTGACGTGTTTTACTGATATTGCAAAATTCACGCCAAACAGTGAAAAGTGGGTGGAAACCGAAAAAAACAGCATTTGAATGTTAAAAACAAAACTTTTGACCGGGCAAAGCCGCTTAATGCCAGATTAGTTTCAATTCGCCCGCAGCCCCCCACCCCTCCCACTACCAGAAAGTTGCCTAATCCTTTGACTGCGTTCCGAAAACTTTCTAGTACACATACATATGCATACAAGAATATGTACGCACACATTAATACATATGTCAGCCATATGCTCACCTGTTTCAGTTGGATGGGAAGGGGGCGGGGGCGTCCCAGTGCCCTGTCTCAATCCTTTTGCCTCTTTAGAAATGTAACTGTGCCATTTTCTGAGCTAAAAATATGGAATACTCACACAAATACGTGCGTGTGTGTGTGTGTGTGCGTGTGGAATTAAGTCTGCCCACGACGCAAATTTCGCGTTCTGCCGCCGGCCAACAGACCCTCGACCTGCCTCTACCTCGCAACAGCAACAACCCTTCTCCTTAGCACACACATACACACACGCACTCCCTCCTCCCCACTCCCTCCCTCCGTCTCGAGCCTTGTTGATTGTGCAAAAGAAACTATTTCTGACGCGCTCGTAATCCACTCCGCGCTACGTAAATCCTTACGTGTCTGTTGAAATAAACAGGCGGGCAGGCAGTCAGTCAGTCAGTCAGTCACTCCCCCTTCAGCAGCCCCCCCTGCCAGCGCCTATGGTGGCGCGCCCACGTCAGCAAAGCGACGATTTCGCGAGTCCCCCGGGCAGAGCCTGAACAGCGCCAAAGAGTGAGTGGAAGAGAGAGAGAGAGAGCGCGTTAACGTTCTGCCGCTGCCGCTGCCGGCGCCTGCGCAGGCGCCCAACAACGCAAGCCAGCAACGCCGCAGCCTTCAGCAGCTGCAGCACTGGCAGAGTCTCAGCAAACGGCGGCCTAAGCAGACGTTTTACGCGGCAGCCAAAAGTCAAATATTAAAGGAAAACATTTATTAGGAAAAGGCTCGTCCTCGGCTTGAGCAGCGGCTGCAGCAAAAGGTGATAAACTGAATAAACGTTTGGCAACACTTTTTTCTTGTGTGCATATCAAACATATTTGGCAATTCGCTCTCACAAAGCTAACTGCGTGTGTGTGTGTGTGTGTGTGCGAAAACTTCAAAAAAAAGTGTCGCAATTTGCAAATAAATTCAATTTATTAATACATACAAATACATTTGCTGTTGTTGTTGTTGTTGTTGTTTGTGGCTCGCCCAGCTCGCAAATAACGAAAACAAACTAAAAACGACAACAACAACAAAAACTCGTTTTGCCGTTTTGTGTGTTGGATGTTAACTGCGAGGTTCGTGCGCTGCCGCCCCTCGCAGCTTTAAATTCGCTGCTCTGTCGCGGTCTGCTGCTGCTGCTGCTTCTGCTTCTTCTTCTTCTTTAATTTTGTTGTTGACGTCTGCGCCGGTCGATGTGGCGCTGCCTGCCTGCCTGCTGTGTGTGTGTGTGCTTGTGCGCGTATTTGTTTGTTATGCTTGCCATCGCGGCAGCTGCAACTCCTTGCTCTCTCTTACGGGCAGCGGCGTCGATGTCGACGTCAACGTCGACAGCATCTTTGCAACTTTTTATCGCTTTTATGACTATGTGTGTGCGTGCGTGCGTGTGTGTGTTTGAGAACCGGCTTTTTGTTTGCATTAATTTTTGTTTTCTCGCCGCACACATTCATTATATTTCGTGTATGCCTCACCCCTAACCCCACCGTCCAGCCCAACAAGTTGTTAATTTTGTTTTTAACGCTCGCACACGCACAAGCCCAAACGAAAGTTGCCAATTGGACACTTTTTTTTTTGACGCAAAGCGCTTTTAAAGTTCCAAGAACATATTTGCCATGCGTTGCGACGCAAAGTGCGTAGTTCACTTTACATGTGTGTGTGCGTATGTTCTTTCTCTCTCTCCCTCTTTCGCTCGCTCCCTTGTGCGCAATCTATGAATTTGTTATTGCTTTTATGCTACGCTGCTTTGCTGTTATTGTTGTTGTTGTTGTTGGCGCATGTTTTTATAGTTTTTGCGTAGTTTTATATTTCGGCACGACAAACACACACACACACACACGCGCGCACACACATACACACAGGCAGTCACCCAAAACGGTTCTCATACAAAACGCCGCACAGTGGACAAAAGTTGAACTAAAACCTCACAAAAAAAAAACTAGACTTGAATTTGGATATCTAAAGAATTTGCAGCTGAAAGTTATCGATATTTATCGATATATTAGAAAATTGAAAAAAAAATAACAAAAATAAATATGAATTTATGTTTTTATTAAAACTTTAAACGTTTTACCAGGCATACATCATATATATTATATTTGTGTTAAATAATCTATGCACGAATTATAAAGATCAATACTTTTTTTTTAATATTTAATTATTTTAAACTGCAAATCTGACAACAAAAGAGCCCATCCAAATTTTGTCTCATCTTTACACACTTTCGAACCACTGTGCGCCGCCCCAAAAAGTACAAATAAAAAGATAAAAACAAAAACCACAAATTGGCGTCTGGCAACGTTAATTTTATTGTTGTTGTTTTGCACACAAAAGATGCCAATGGAAATTTTCGAAAATCTAACGAAAATAGTGGCCAGTGTTGGTTAATGTATGGGAAAACTTGGTATTTAGTTCCAGCTCAACTCCAATTGGACTTCCAATTAGATTAGTTTACGTTTTAACTCTTGGCAAAATGTCGCTAATCAACTTATTTCTTCCGCTTGCAGATTCTCTTTTAATTTAATATAAATTGTCAAAAAAATTAATAAAAAAAATTCAGAAATTTTGTAAATATTAATTCCTCAACAATCGATATGTAAAAGGCGAGGCCAGTCACTATTTTCTTTGGTCACGTTTCAATTGCAAGAGTCACTTTTTTGTACAGTAAACTAAATTGTAAGACGAAGAAGAAGAATATTGAGCCGAAAGAGCAACAACAAAAACAACAACAAGACCAAACAAAACGAA